CCTTCAGCTGCAACGTTCAGCAAAATTGGCAGTGGAGACGTCTGGAGAGGAGGAACTCCACTTATATGCAGCTCAGCTTCTGAACAGAACCAGGAACTTCCTGACAGTGAGGACAATTCATCAGTGGAACCACTTGCCTCTCCAGAAGTTGTGGAAAACTGGAGGTTTTCAAGACTAATCAAGGAGAGAAGCAACCTAGAACTAAGGAGAAACTTCCTGACAGTGAGAAGAATTAATCAGTGGGACTGCTTGCCTCCAGAAGCGGTGAATGCTCCAACACTGGAGGTTTTTAAGAAGAAAATACTATTTGTCTGGAATGGTATTAAGGTTTCCTGCCTGAGCAGGGTGGGGTTGGCCTAGAAGACCTCCAGAGGTCCCTTCCAACTCTGGTTTTCTGGATTCTATAAATCTACTGGTACCTACAAAGACACCCTTCCTTCTCCTTACAACTTGCAATTGATTGTTGCACTTACAATCATAACTTTGACGCTGTATCATGCAGTAGCTATAAAGCGCCTTGCCACGAACAAGAGTTGCAGAGAGAATTGTGCATAACAGGCAGTTGCAAAGGGACAACGCCGACATCTTATGCACTCAGAGGAAACCCTGGGTGGTCTAATCCGTTCCCAGTTCGAGTCCTATGTTGCCCAAGGACCCTTCCCCATGTCATATGCAGAAAGAAAAAGAAAGTTTTTAACAGAGACAAGACAGAGAACGGAACTGGCGATCAGGGGAGAGAGCAGAGGAAGGGCGAGACCCCCCTGATGATATATAGACAAGCCCAGCCCTTCTTTGACCCTTCTGCCTCATTGAGATCAAGTCAGTAATTGACAGAGGCAATTAGCCCGGCCTTTCACTTCCATTTCTCTCCCCAGCCTACAATCAGGACGTGCAAAACCGCCATTGTGCAGAAGCCAAAGAAATTACTGCCTGGCTAGGCGGGGACCCCACCCTTCTCAAGACTCTCCCACAGTTCCCAAAGTCAGAGAAGGATCGTGGGGGGTTTTTTTCGCCCGCAGGCCGGATCTAAGAGGGAAACACCCAGCTTGGCACAGATGGGTAAAATCACCCCTGGGTTTGACTGCTGTGCAGAATCGGTCTGCATCAAACAGCCCCTGCACCCCCCTCCCCCCCCCCCGTTTGGCCGAATTCAACCGAAAATGTTATGTCCAAACAAGTCCCCCTGTGACTTGGTGCACTGGGTGTTCTTATTTTCAGCCGTTAGTTTAGTGGACTTGTGACTGTTTTTCACACTAAGGATGGCTGCAGCATTCCTGGGGTCAGGCGATCAAAATTTGGACGCTGGAGTCCAAAGTTGGTTGATTTCCTTCCTTCCTTCCTTCCTTCTTCCCTCCCTCTCCCCAACTCCTTCCTCCCTCCCTTTCTCTTCCTATCTCCTTCCTTCTTTCCTTCCTTCCTCTCCCTCCCTCCCTCTTCCCATTTCCTTCCTTCCTTCCTCCCTTTCCCTTCCCATCTCCTTCCTCCCTCCCTCCCTTTCTCTTCCTTCCTTCCTTCCTTCCTTTCTCCCTCCCTCTCCCCATCTCCTTTCTCGCTCCCTCCCTCCCTCTCTTCCCATCTCTTCCCTCCCTCTCTTTCTCTTCCCATCTCCTTCCTTCCTTCCTTCCTTCCTTCCTTCCTTCCTTCCTTCCTTCCTTCCTCCCTTTCTTTTCCCATCTCCTTTCTTTCCTTCTCCCTCCCTCCCATACCATTTCAGACAAATGGCTTTTAAGAAGAGACTGGACAGCCCTTTGTCTGAAATGGTATAGGGTCTCCTGCCTGAGCAGGGGGTTGGGCTAGATGACCTCCGAGGTAGCTTCCAACTTTATTATTATTTATTTTTTGTAATAAAAAGGACTCTCAGCTTTTCTGGACTGAGACCATAGCCAGGGAGGAATGCTGAAAGTCGAGGCTCAGCTCCACCCAGGATTAAACCTCCCTTCTGCCAGCCCAGAGAAGGAACAAGGTGTGGCAGGGTGTAAGAGAAGGAGGGGAAAAAAAAAAGAATCACATGTTTGTGGCAATGCCTGAGGATTTTTTTTTCCCCCTTTCTTTTTCAAAAAGAAAAAAAAAGAAAAACTTGTACGGAGAGATTTTCCCAAACAGAACACAACGGGGAGGGGGGAAAAAGAATAAAAAAAATAAACAGGAAGGTCTCGATTTAGAACCGCAGCAGACCCCCAGATTTTTGTTGCTAAGCCAGACAGTCATTAAGTGAGGCTTGCCCCCTTTTTTTACCACCTCCCCCGCCAAGGCTGTTAAGGGAATCTCACTGCAGTTGTTAAGCGAGTCGCACGGGCGTTAAGCAAAACTGGCTTCCCCCTCGACTTTGGCCAAAAGGGGGGATCACGTGATCCCGGGGGACGCTGCAGCCGTCGTATGTCTGAGTCAGTTGCCAAGGGGCTGAATTTGCATCCCGTGGCCACGGGGGATGCTGCAAGGTGAAAACCAATCGTCAGTCCTTTTTTTTCTGGAGCCGTTGTAATGTCAAATAGTCACTACAGGAGCAGTTGTAAAGCGAGGACTTAATTTTCAAGGGAGGATGCCCCATCAATACGCTGAGGCTGGCAGTCTCAGGAGGATGGGGGGCCTCCTTCCTCCTTCTTCCTCTCCCCAGTTTTACAGTTTGCAGCCTAAATGCAGAATGCAGAACTGAAATAGCTCCTGGGGGAGAAGCAAAAAAACGCTTTCACGAAAGGAACACAAAACAAAAGCAACAACAACAAAAAGGAAATCAAGTTGCTTTTTGGGAAAAGCATCTTTGGGATATACCCATCCTCTGGACGATTGAGAATCTCCACAGCTATTTAGAATAGAACAGAGCTGGAAGGGACCTTGGAGGTCTTCTAGTCCAGCCCCATGCTCGAGCAGAACTCATGCACCCTTCAAATGTTCAAAAGCATTCGCCCGCCCAAAAGTGGCGTCTGATCCCTGCAGACAGGCAGAAACCCAACCGATGAAGCTTTCTCCCCCCCCCCCAGCTTGGTTATCGTGGGAGAACCAAAAGCTGCAAACCTCTGCATTTCAGCCCATCATTAGCTAAACACACACACACACACACACACACACACACACACAAACCAGCCACAGAAAGGCCCAGCTCATCTCAACATTCAGAAAAAGTTGGAAAAGGCTTCCAACAGTTCAAAGCACTGAAAAAAAGACCTTTTTTTTTTAACTTGTGGTCAGTTCAGACCCTTGGCAACTGACTCATATTTACGACGGTCGCAGCATCTGGGGTTGTGTGTGTGTGTGTGACATGGTTTCCCCTTTTGTGACTTTCCTGCAAACAAAGTCAACGGGGGAAGCAAATTCACTGAACGACCGAGTTACTAACTTTAAAAACTGCAGCGATTCATTTAACAACAGCGGCAAGGTCACAAAATGGGCCAACCTGCAACTGACTCATATTTATGACCGTCGCTGCATCGTGGGGAGGTCACATGATTCCCTTTTTGGGACTTTCCTGCAAGCAAAGTCAACGGGAGGGGGCAGATTCGTTTAACTTAACTTAACGGTAGCGGTTGGCTTAACCAGGGAGGCCAGGACGGTCGTAAAACGGGGCAAAAACTCACTTTGTGGCTGCCTTTGTGGGCTCAGCTGTGGCAGCAAGTCGGGACTAGCTGCAGGGGATCAGCACAGTTTCCTACGCCTTCCTCCTTCCAAAGCTCAACAAATAAACTTTTTGTTTTGTTTTGTTTTGTTTTTATAAAAAAGGAAGCTAAGTGATTAACTGCAACAGATCCGGGTTCAAGTTCCCACCCCAGTCTCGCCACTCCTCAGCTTCTTTCCAGCTTTCTGCCCCACCCATTAAACAAACAAATTTTTTTTAAAAAAATGGGATAACCCCCCCCCCCCCCAAAAAAAAGGAAGCCAGAAAAATCAGCTTTGGAGAGAACGGTGGTTTTTTTTACAAGATTTATTTGTTTTTCCCTTCCCTTCATCCAACAGCCGCTTCTGTTTACAGGAGAGAAGCAAGAGTTTGCGATTGTCGAAAAGGGCGAAGAAGACTCACAACAGCTTTCCTTGCGCAGGGGAACAGACCCCCCTCCAACTTTTTGCATTTACGCGCGAGTAAAACAACAACAACAACAACCTCTGCTCACGCTTCCCCCTTCCCGGATTTCCAGAGGCCATTTGCAACTGGGAAAACTCCTGGGAAACGCCAGACCTCCCCTTGCCTTAAGCCAAACCGAAATGAAACGGAGCGAATTCGGGCCAAAACTAAAGAGTCCCGTTTTCGTCTCCAATCGCGGGTTACTCCGAATGTTTGTTTCTGCCTTTTCCCCACCCACCCAAACTTCAACTACTCCGGATCGTTGCCCTTCCCTCCCAGGCGAGAAGAGCAGAGGACGAGGCGAAAAAAAAAAAGGAATGGCAACGTGGAAAGAAAGGGAGAAAAAAGAAAAAAAGAGGGAGGGAGGAAGGGGAAAAAAAAACCCAGCAAGAATTTTGGAAACAAACAAACAAAAAAATTACAGGTCTGAAGCTATCCTCAACCCAAAACCTGGGGGAGGGGGAGGAGAATCCACGCGGGGGCTGAAAAGACGAGAGTTCTTTCCTGCTCTTTCGGTGGGTTTTTTTTCTCCCCCCCCCCCCCTTCAAAGAAAGATTAACTCCTGTTCTTTCTCGCTTCCGCGCAGAACTGATTAAAAAGAGAAAAGACAAAAAGACAGAAAAATAGGAAGAAAGCAGCAGCGGGAAGCCAAACCACCCACTCCCCCCAGGAAGTGGGGAGGGGGGCTTGTCAGGCTGGAGGCTGACAAGCCCCCCCCCCCCCGCTCTGCTGCTTTGCCAAAGCCAGAGTAATCTTTTGCAGACCCCCTAAAACCTCCCCAATTCAGCTGAATCTCTTACCTCCCCGGGAAGGACCCCTCTGCCCCCTCTTCTCACCCAAGACAGCAGCAACAGCCCCCCTACTCAATATCCTCGGTGCTGTTGCTGGGGCCACCGAGGTGCCCCCACCCACCTCCGGCCGTGCCACCGCCTCCACCTGGCCTCACCTGCGATGAACTGGCGCCGGTTCTCGTCCAGGTGCGCCGAGATCACGTCGCCCATGGCGGCCCAGCGAGCGGAGGAGAAGGAGGAGGAAGAGGATGAGGAGGAAGAGGCTGTTCGGCTAGAGGAGGAGAGGAGAAAGGCCCCGCCGGGCGATGCACTCCATGGGGCGGCCGGGCCGAGCCAGAGGGAGGGGAAAGAGCCAGCGAGGCGGTGCGCACTGGCGCCCGCAGCTCCCTGACTCGCTCGCTCGCTTCTTCCTTCTCCTCCTCCTCCGACACGCCTTTCTGCCCTGCTTTAAAGCCTTTCCTTTCCAGCGCGGGATTCCCTCCCTAATTTTTTTTTTTTTTTTGCAGGGTTGGGGTGTGTGAGGCAGTTTTTCTCCTCCCCCCCCCCTTGCCCTGAGTGGTTTTGAGTGGAAGTTGGAAGGAGAAGGGAGCCTGGTTCAGGCGAGGCTCTGCACTTTTTCTGGATACCACTCAGGGGGAATATTTGTGGGGTTCCTCGGTGCTCTCAGAGCTGGGTTGTTCTCTTGGGGATGTTGCATGACCCAACTAGGTGCTGTCATCAGTGCTAGAAGGGAGTGGGCTTTGTGGAGAGGAGGAGGAGGAGGAGGAGGAGGAGGAGGATGGGAGCCTTGGTGAGCTTAGTTGTTTTCCTGCCGACATTTCATAAGCCAACTAGGTAACAACATCTGTGCTAGAAGGAACTGCATATAAAGCAGTGGTTCTCAACCTTTTTAATGCCGCGACCCCCAACCGGTCGTAAGTCGAGGACGACTCAACTGGTGCAGCACCGTTTGCAGAATGGGACTTTTGGCGGGCTCAGCAGGGCAGAGACAGCCTGGACAATTCCTATTGGCTTTTGAAAGCCAATAGAATTAGACTCTATTCAAGAGAGTCTATTCTATTGGCTTTCGAAAGCCAATAGAATAAAAGGGAGTAGCACAGCTAAGGAAAAGGGGGGGAAATGGCGGAAAAAATGGTAGACTGCGTTGTTTGGCGACCTCCGTGAAATGGTCGTTCGACCCCAAATGGGGTCCCGACCCACAGGTTGAGAACCACTGATATAAAGAGAGAGAGAACCTTATTCCCTTCTAGCCCTGATGATGTCACCTAGTTGGGTCATGAAACGTCTGCAAGAAAACCACCCAGCTCAGAGAGCACCAAGGACCCCACAATAATCCTCCTCCTCCTCAAGCTAACAACTGTGATTTACTTAACAACGGTGGCAAGAAAGGTCATAAAACGGGGCAAAACCCACAACCAACATCTCACTTAACAACATAAACGGGCTCAATCGTGGTCATGAGTCCACCTGTATCACCTTATTCTACTAGGCGGAAAAAGAGTCGGAAGTCAGGGCTTTAATATTTTTTTTGTCCCCTCTACCCTACACTTTTCTCTCCGCCCCTTTTCCTCCCAGATTTTATCTCTCCTTTCCTTGTTCTTTATGGTTATTGCACGTTGCGCTTTGATCAACCAATGCAAATGTTGAATCAGAGAGCAAAAGGGAAGAAGGAAAAATCCGAGGAGTTCAGAAACCCTCAGCGCCCTGCAACCTGCAAGCACCGAATCCATCTAGATTTTGCGCAAAGACACACACACACACACACACACACACACACACACACACACACCCATTATAGGCGGGGCCTAAATTAAGAGAGCAAACAATGCTGGCTCCTAACAGTAGGACGTGACCTTGGCTTCTGCAGGCTTTGGGTTAATTGCTGGCTTCAAGGATTTACATAAATAGAGCTTGCTGTACCAAGAAAGACATCCAAGGATGGTTTTCTTCCAACAAGTCCTTTGCAAGAAGCTTAAAGATAGCTAGCTGGGGGCTACTAGCTCTATAACCCGTGCAGCTGCTGACTGGTGAGCCCAAGGCGTTAAGCAGCAGAATTCCCTTGGTGTGTAAAGGAACAGCTGGCTGCTTCTGTGCTTTTATTTATTTACTTATTTTTAACTGGGGTGTTTGTCCAGGAACCCGTAAAACAAAAGGGCCCGCATCCCAAAGAGGCATTTTGAAAAGAGCAGCTGCCTCTGGCACTCCATCCCTTCCCCCCCACCCCCACCCCTACAAATCCCCTGCGGTCAAAAGCAGAAAACAATTCTGATTAATGTCAGCGGTTTGACTCAGCACTTTATAGAGGCTCGTGTTTATTTGAGATGGGAGGGTGGGGTGGAGGGTGGGAGGGGGAGGATGGATCTGCACTGGCCCAACCATCTGTAAAAGAAAGGTCAGCTGGCAAAGGTCAAAGGGGTTCTCCAGTGGACCGATTTCCAGAGCAATGTGTCTCCCCCAGCTCACTCATTCCCAGGGATCAAACCCTGCGCAATCCTTATCAGTTGACATGCTTAATCTGGTCAGATCTGGAGTAGCATGGAGGAATGTGTGTGTGTGTGTGTGTGTGTGTGTGTGTGTGTGTGTTTGGCTTCTTTCAGTGACAGGGTTCTTTTTCCCCACTCTTCTTGGCTAGGGAGTGAGGGAGGAGAGACTAAGGAAGAAAAGAAAGAGAAGAGGGAAGAGAGAAGAAAAGAGAAGAGACAGAAAAGAAAAGATGAAAGAAAAGAAAAAAGAAAGGACAAGAAGACAGAAGATCAAAAGGACAGGAGGAGGAGAGAGAAGAGAAGACAGAAGGGGAGAAGATGAAAGAAAAGTAAAAAAGAAAGGACATAAGAAGAAGACAAGAGAAAAAGGACAGAAGGAAGGAAAGAAAAAAAAGGACAGAAGGAGAGAGAAGAGAAAAAGGACAGAAGAAGGGAGAAGAGGAAAGGACAAGAAAAGGAAGAGAAGAGAAAGGACGAGAAGGAAGGAGAGAGAAGATAAAAAAGACAAGAAGGAAGAAGAAGGAAGAAAAACAGAAAAGAAGCCAAGAGAAGAAAGGAAGAGAGAAAAAATGAGGGAGAAGAAGAGAAGAAAAAAGGGCAGATGAGAGAGCGAAGAGGACAGAAGAGAGGGTTTATCAGAAAGAAAAACTAGGCATTTGGCTCAAACATTCACAACTGGCAACGAGGAGAAACACCAATGTTCAATTTGACACACAGGGAAAAGATCTACTCCAACAGCAGTTTCAACACACACACAAACACACACACACACACAGAGAGGGGGGGAGGTAGCCCAACCCCTTCCTTCTCAGACATGGAGCCACTAACCACCCTATCTTTTGAGGACTAACCGAAAGACACTTTGTTTATGCTCTGGTGCTGTGTTTACCCCCATCTCAACTCCCCAGGCGAAGAGCGTGGCCCATGTACACAAAGTGTCCTGTTTGTTCACTTCATCCCTTGTTTGCCTTGGCAAGCGAAAGCAAGAAAGAAACACACTGGAGATTTTGCCAGCCTGGGCTGAGAGCGTTCCCTCCTCCTCCTCCTCCTCCTCCTTCTTCTCCTCCTCCTGTTGAAACACGTCTCCCCAAAGAATACTTCCGGGTTGGTTCAGAGGAGCTGGAATCGAACTAGAGCTGCTTAATGTGTACCTTTTGTGAAGAGAGGAAAAAGCAGCCTCTTTGAAGATCAGATGGGGAGACGTGTGATATTTGGAGCCCAAACGCTTCTAATTATTCTAAGGGAGGGAAACGAGGACTCTTTGAATGCCAGAATCAAAGACCGCTTTTATAAAGCCTTAGTAAAGCCACACCTGGAATATGGCATCCTGCTTTGGTCACCGCGTTACAAAAAAGATGTTGAGACTTTGGGGAGAGTGCAAAGAAGAGCAACTAAGATGATGAAAGGCCTAGAGACTAAAACATGTGAAGAACGCTTGCAGGAATTGGGCATGTCTAGTTTAATGAAGAGAAGGACGAGGGGGGACATGACAGCAGTGTTCCAATATCTCAGGGGCTGCCCCAAAGAAGAGGGAGTCAAGCTATTCTCCAAAGCACCTGAAGGGCAGGACAAGAAGCAACAGACAGAAATCTGGAATTTGGGGGAAAAAACTTCCTACTAGTGAGGACAATTAACCAGTGGAACAGCTTGCCACCAGAAGTTGTGGAGGTTTTGAAGAAGGGACACTAGATAGTCACTTGTCTGAAATGGTATAGGGTCTCCTGCTTGAGCGGGGGGGGGGGCTGGACTAGAAGACCTTCAAAGTCCCTTCCAGCCTTATTCTGATTCCGGAAGCCAAGATGGCAATTTGGAATTGCAGGCTTATTGGCGAAGGAGACGCCTTCTCTCTTTCAAGACGCCAAAGGGGACTTTGGACGACTGCTTTCGCCACCCTCCTGTCACCTGAGTGAACAGATGAGGATCAGCCTTGCAGATTTGGCACCCCACAATTTTTTCCCAGCACTTGCAACAAAACCAGCATCACAACAAAGTTTAGACCTGAGGGTGACACGCCACTGTATTTATTGACAATAACTGCCCCCCTTTGCAATTAGAATGTGCAACCCTGAATTAGAAGGGTGGAGAATCCGAGCCGGTTTTATGGCACAATGTCCTAGAAAGATCTTTTGCGCAGCTGCTGCCTTACGGGAAGCAGCACACTAGGCACACGAGTGCTTGTATGTGTGTGTGTGTGTGTGTGTGCTGCAGATGTGGCGGAGACTGTGAAGAGGCAGAAAATGTTAGTGCGCGCAAACAATATTTACGTGCTCGAAGAGTGGAGATTTCCCATGTTCATTTTCTCAGCCCCGGGGACCGCCACAGAGGAAGTGGGACAAGGAAGCAAGATTGCAGCTTCCCATGTACAGGTGTGGTCCTCTACAGGTGTGGTCCTCAGGTTACGGCCACAACTGACCCCCAACTTTCTCTGGTTGAGTCAGACATTGGCTAAGTGAGTTTTGCCCCGTTTTACAATATTTCTTGCCACCATTTTTAGGGAATGGCTGCAAGTTGTTAAGATACCCACACGGTTGTGAAGTGACTCTGGTTTCCCCCCCCCCCCATTGACTTTGCTTGTCAGAAGGTCACAAAAGGGGATAACATGACCCTGGGACTCCGCAACAGTCATAAAGCACAAGTCAATGGCCAAGCGTCTGAATTTTGATCATCCGAGCATGGGTAGGTTGCGAGAGTGAAAAACGGACGTAAGTCCCTTTTTTTCGGTGCCGTTGTAACTTCGAACGATTCCTAAATGGACTGTTGTGAGTTGAGAGCTTCCCATATTCCTCCAGAAACACAGTTCCTTGTGGAGTGTTGAAAAGAGGAATAAGCCTGAATAACAGGAAAACAATCCCTGGAAGAATGCAGCCTTGGCTCTTGGAGAGAGCTGGAAGATTTTGGCAGCCTGGCCCGAAAAACACTCAGGAAATGTAA